GCCAGTCTTAATAGAAATTATACATCCTGCATATGCACAAAGGTAGATAGATACATAAATGTATGCTCATGCATACTCAAATTTTGAGGTAACAAAGTTAAACCTAAAGAAATCCAATCATGTGGCTGATTTACATAGCAGAATTTGAAGGAGATGGTCGACATATTCATACACAGTTCAGATAATTTATTTTTTCTCACATAGCTAGAAAGTCTGCTGTGATATTTGAAATAATAAGACATCAACATACTGTTCTAATCTTTCATCTAGAGTTATTTTTTATTTTCTAACCGATACTGAAGGAGCTGGAAGGTAGTTCACAGCCTCTAACGACAAGTTCACACAAACCTTCATATTTTCTGTGAAACCCTACTCAATGTTGGTACAAAGAATATTGGAAAGATATTTCCTTGGAGTCCTGTACAAAAATTGGGAATGTTTCTGACATTTAGTTATTTTTTTCCTTGACAAATAGTTCAGCAATTAAAGTTCACTTCAAAGTTCACTAATAGATTGTATTATGAGAATATGCATTTATTTTGAGAGTGTTTTTCAGAACATTCAAGCTATGATGTGACTATAATAATTAAGGCCCCACAACTCTACAGAAACATTAAAATATCACAATTTTACTACTTATTCATGGTTTCTTTTTTTAAAGCATCTCTTATACCATCATGAGTACATGAGTTCATGGATTATACCATCATACCATTTGCCAAGGCGATCGGCTCCGGGGCAGACGTGTTCTGCAGCGGAGCGGGGGATCGGGCCAGGCAGGGCTCATTTTTCCGGCATCGAGCCGACTTCAGGGAGCCGCCAGGACCCAGCAGCCCTCGTGAGGGAGGCTGACGAGGCGAAGGCGGAGCCAGCAGCGCCCCCTCCCCATCCGTTCAAAAGCTGCCCCTAGGGAGCGCAGCGACCAGGGCGGGCAAACAGGGCGTGGCGCGTCAGAGGGGAGTGGCGCGGCAGTTAGCGCGGCAGTTCGCGCAGGCAGGGCGAGCAGGAAGGGCAGAGCGTTCCCCCCGCCCATACGAACACCTCCTTAACCACAGCCGTTAGCTAGGTGATAATGGTCTCCACCAGGCACGGTGCGCTCTCCAGGAAGTTGGTACACACCCAGACCGACTACCCGTTAAAAAATGCAGCAGTTCAGGTCACCAGATGCAAGGAGTGTCAGAGCCTGTTCCTACCATCGGCAGGAAGCAGAGACGCTGCGTGTGTGAGGTGTGAGCAAGTGGATGACCTGATCCGCATGGTGGCGGAGCTCAAGGAGGAGGTGGAGAGGCTGAGGGCCATCAGGGAATGTGAGCGGGAGATAGACTTCTGGAGCAACTCCCTGCAGGGCCTCAAGGAGAGGTACCGAGGTGAGACACCCCAAATGGGGGTGGACCCCTGCCCTGTCACCATCGGGCAGAGGGAGGGGACCTGGGAGTTGAGGAGGAATGGAAACAGGTCCCTGCTTGACATCGCAGGCGATGCCCTCCCCTTCTGGCCCCGCCTTCCCAGGTGCCCTTACGAAACAGGTTTGAGGCCCTGGAGACTGAGAGACTGGTAGCTGAGGAAGAGGTAGCAAGTGTTCCCAGGAGGATGCCTAGGGCAAGGAGGTCGACTCCACGCCTCAGGACTGCCTCCACCAAGAAAGACAGGAGGGTTATTGTTGTGGGAGACCCTATTCTTACGAGAACAGAGGGCCCAATTTGTTGGCCTGACCTTACCCGTAGGGAAGTCTGCTGCCTCCCTGGGGCCAGGGTCGGGGATGTTGCCAGGAAGCTTCCCAACCTGGTACGCCCCTCTGATTATTATCCTCTTCTGATAGTCCAGGCGGGCAGTGACAGCATTGAAGTGAGAAGCCTGAAGGCTATCAAACGAGACTTTAGGGGGCTGGGACGGTTAGTGGACGGAGCGGGAGTGCAGATGGTGTTTTCATCCATCCCTATGGTGGCAGGGAGGGGTACAGAGAGGACACGGAAAGCCCACCTGTTAAACACGTGGCTCCGGGGCTGGTGCCAACGCAGAAATCTTGTTTTTTTTGACCATGGGGCACTTTACTCAGCACCTGGCCTGATGGCCGCAGAAGGGTCCCTATCTTTTAGGGGAAAAAGGATTCTGGGCCAGGAGCTGGCAGGGCTCATTGAGAGGGCTTTAAACTAGGTAAGAAGGGGGATGGGGCTGAAGCAAGGATTGTTGGGGCTGTGCCAGGGGGAACAATGGCAAGGCCGGACGATAAGGTAATGGCCCAGCTGAAGTGCATTTACACCAATGCACACAGCATGGGTAACAAACAGGAGGAGCTGGAAGCCATCGTGCAGCAGGCAGGCTACGACTTGGTTGCCATCACAGAGACGTGGTGGGACCAGTCTCATGACTGGAGTGCTGCGATGCCTGGCTATAAGCTCTTCAGAAGGGACAGACAGCACAGAGGGGGTGGTGGTGTGGCTCTCTATATTAGAGAGTCTTTCGAGGTTGTAGAACTCGAGGGTAGGAATGACAAGGTTGAGTCCCTTTGGGTTAGGATCAGCAGGGACAACAAGGCTAGCGTCCTGATCGGGGTCTGTTATAGACTGATGAACCAGGATGAGGAGACAGATGAGGAGTTCTACAGGCAGCTTACAGAAGTTGCAAAATCTTCAGCGCTTGTACTCGTGGGGGACTTCAAATTCCCTGACATATCCTGGAAGCACAACACAGCCCAGAGAAAGCAGTCTAGGAGGTTTCTGGAGAGCGTGGAAGATAGCTTCCTGACGCAGCTGGTTAGTGAACCTACCAGGGGTAGTGCCCCACTAGACCTTCTCTTCACAAACAGAGAAGGACTGGTGGAGGATGTGATTGTCGGGAGCTGTCTTGGGCAGAGTGACCACGAAATGGTGGAGTTCACTATTCTTCGCGAGGCCAGGAAGGGGACCAGTAAAACCGCTGTATTGTTCTTTCGGAGGGCTGACTTTGAGCTGCTCAGGACACTGGTTGGTAGAGTCCCTTGGGAGGCGGTTCTGAAGGGCAGAGGGGTCCAGGAAGGCTGGGCGCTCTTCAAGAAGGAAATCTTAATGGCGCAGGAACGGTCTGTCCCCATGTGCCCAAAGACGAGCCAGCGGGGAAGAAGACCAGCCTGGCTCAACAGAGAACTGTGGCTTGAGCTTAGGAGAAAAAAGAGGGTTTATAATCTTTGGAAAAGTGGGCAGGCCACTAGGGAGGACTATAAGGATGTTGCGAGGCTGTGCAGGGACAAAATTAGGAAGACCAAAGTTCATCTGGAGCTCAATCTGGCTACTGCCGTTAAAGATAACAAAAAACGTTTTTATAAATACATCAACACAAAAAGGAGGACTAAGGAGAATCTCCATCCTTTACTGGATGCGGGGGGAAACTTAGTTACAAGAGATGAGGAAAAGGCGGAGGTGCTCAATGCCTTCTTTGCCTCAGTCTTTAGCAGCAATACCAGTTGTTCTCTGGATACCCGGTACCCTGAGCTGGCAGAAGGGGATGGGGAGCAGGATGTGGCCCTCACTATCCGTGAAGAACTGGTTGGTGACCTGCTATGGCACTTGGATGTGCACAAGTCGATGGGGCCGGATGGGATCCACCCAAGGGTATTGAGAGAACTGGCAGAGGAGCTGGCCAAGCCACTATCCATCATTTATCAGCAGTCCTGGCTATCGGGGGAGGTCCCAGTTGACTGGCGGCTAGCAAACGTGACACCCATCTACAAGAAGGGCCAGACGGCAGACCCAGGGAACTACAGGCCTATCAGTTTGACCTCAGTGCCAGGGAAGCTCATGGAGCAGATCCTCTTGAGAGTCATCACGCAGCACTTGCAGGGCAAGCAGGCGATCAGGCCCAGTCAGCATGGGTTTATGAAAGGCAGATCCTGCTTGACAAACCTGATCTCCTTCTATGACAAAGTGATGCGCTGGGTGGATGACGGAAAGGCTGTGGATGTGGTCTACCTTGACTTCAGCAAGGCTTTTGACACCGTCTCCCACAGCATTCTCCTCAAGAAACTGGCTCCCCTAGGCTTGGACTGGCGCACGCTTTGTTGGCTTAGAAACTGGCTGGGCCAACAGCATCCTGGCTTGCATAAGAAACAGTGTGACCAGCAGGGCTAGAGAGGTGATCGTCCCCCTGTACTCAGCTCGGGTGAGTCCGCACCACAAGTACTGTGTTCAGTTTTGGGCCCCTCGCTACAAGAAGGACATCGAGGTGCTTGAGCGGGTCCAGAGAAGGGCGACGAAGCTGATGAGGGACCTGGAGAAAAAGTCCTATGAGGAGCGGCTGAGGGAGCTGAGCTTGTTCAGCCTGGAAAAAAAGGAGGCTCAGGGGTGACCTTATTGCTCTCTACAGATACCTTAAAGGAGGCTGTAGCGAGGTGGGGGTTGGTCTGTTCTCCCACGTGCCTGGTCACAGGACGAGGGGGAATGGGCTTAAGTTGCGCCACGGGAGATTTAGGCTGGATGTTAGGAAGAACTTCTTTACCGAAAGGGCTGTTAGACATTGGAACAGGCTGCCCAGGGAGGTGGTGGAGTCACCATCCCTGGAAGTCTTTAAAAGACGTTTAGATGTAGAGCTTAGGGATATGGTTTAGTGGGGACTGTTAGTGTTAGCTCAGAGGTTGGACTCGATGCTCTTGATGTCTCTTCCAACCTAGAAATTCTGTGATTCTGTGATTCACTGGACCTCCATCTTTCGCTTTGCAGACACACAGCGTGCTTTCTCTCTGCCACTTGTTGTCCTGAAGGACCTACACTGCTCCCAGACCCAAACCGTAGCTGTGGTGTGCAGGGGAATTCGAGGGAGGAGGGCAGCCCACGCTGCCTCTGGAGGCCTCAGGTGGAAGGCCAGCCCTATGTCCCTGCTCTCAGGCACCTGGAGCGCCATTCTAGTCCTGGCCTCTCCTCCAAAAGGTGCTAACAGAGCTGCCCACCTTGCTCATGCGATCAGGTATGAGCAGTGAGCAGGGAATGGTGCCTCTGCTCATCCAAAGGAAAGAAGAGACACACATGAGGTCGCTTGGAAAGAAACATTTATTGGGAGAGCTCCTGTTCCCTGGTGACTCCAGGCAGGGATGGTTGCAGCTTTCCATTTCTGCAGGAAGCCCAAGCAATCCCCTAATCCCATGGTGAGACTCTGCTTTCCAGCACTGGTTCTCTTCCTGTGAGGCTCCTCACCTCACTTCTTGATGCGGGCAAGTAGGGCCTTGCTTGCATCTCGGAGCATGGCCCAGGCACACTGAAGGCAAAAGCAGATGGGGGTGAACACACAGCAGAAGTTGTCTGGCAGAGGTGGTGTCTCTGTCCTAGGGCTCCTGTGTCTGGCTGCTGCACGTCTGGGGAGCCGCTGTGTTCCTGATGGCAGGGTCCAGGCAGGGGCTTGCTGGGATGGAAGCCTCTCCTGCTCAACTGGAGGGATCAGTATCACCTTTTTGTACAAACGGATCCCCTCCTGCTGCTGGGTGGCAGCAGCAGTCACCTTCTGGCCCTGCTTCCTCTTGGCTCTTTCCTTGGGTGGATGCCGCTCTCCTGATGTCCTGTCTCTCCCTGCGCCTGGGGTTGCAGCCTCAGATGGAGCTGAAGGCTGGGAGCTGTCGCTGCCATGCAGGTTGTGGTGCGGGGATCTGCTGCACTTGGGGCAGCGTCTCCTGGAGCCAGATCCATCCTGGGTGTGCCTCTTGCTCTTCTGTGATTCTTTTGGTCTTCTGTGTGGTGAGGCAACGGGGTGCTCTGCTGCATGCTCCGTGCTTGAATTCTGCTCCAGCCATAAAGCCAGCAGCTGGTTCTGCAGGTTTTCAGCAGCTGTTCTGGCCATGAAGCAGTCCACGAGTGTTGTGAGCAGCTCTTCCAGGTAGGGGATCTGCATACTGGTCCCAGCAGAGTCTGGAGGCACTGGCAGAGCTGAGGGTGTCTCATCAGAGCAGCGCTGTGTCTGTGGGGAACTACTTCTTGGAGAAGATGTCCTGTTGGATGGCAGCTCAGGTGACCACACATCCCCACTGATGCCGCTCTGGCCTTCCTGGGAGTGCTGTGCTTCTCCCATGGGAACATTCTTCTCCAGTTGCAATTCTTGTGTCTCAGTGGAGATGATGGGGCTCACACAGTCCTGTCCTGATTGCCCCTGGGGAGCTCCCTCGCTCAGTGGTGGTGCCTGCTCTTCCTGGATGGAAGGGGAAGTACCTTGACCATCACTTTGTGTCCCAGAGCCCTGATCCTTCTTGGTGCAAGGCATAGTCTTCTTGCTGGTCATGCTGCTGCTTCTGGCTGTTCCTCCAGACTCCCTTTTCCAATGTGGTCTCTTCCCATCCTCCTGAGGCATCCCTTGTGCCACTCTTGAAATAGCTGCTGGCACAAAGTGGGCTGGTGTCTGTGTCCCTCGTGTGCATGTATTCTTTTGGGCTGTGGACTCTTGCTGCAGGCCAGGGGGTCGCACTGCTGACTTTGTGGTGCGCCTGTCCCACTGCTGGAAGGGTGACCAGTAGGGCTGCCCAGTGCGCCTCTGCGAAGATGGGGGCTGGGATTCTTGTTGCTCCAGGATAGGTTCTACAAAGTCCTTCTCATAGGCCAGGACCTTTGCTGGCAGCCCAAAGCACCGCTGTATCTGCTTTTTTATAATGTGACGCTCCAGACGCCTTTTTACAGCCTTATCCAGGAATGGTATGTCCTTCACAATGGGAACCACTAACATATCAGACGTTGGTGGTCGCTGAGGCATTTGAGGAACTGAGGCTGGGCTATCCTGCCAAGAACACACCCCATCAGTCGGCAGCTCCAGTTTCACCTCTTCTTTCCTTCTTGGGGCAAGGCAGTGCACAGTCTCCTGGGTTTCTTGATGTGGGAAAGGCACCTCTGTTTCCCTGGACTGGGAGTCAGGCACCAGTGGAGGTGGGGTGGGAGCACCCTGCTGGTCCTGGACTTGTTTCTCTTGCACCTCCGTTTCCACGGACTGGGAATCAGGCACCAGTGGAGGTGGGGTGGGAGCACCCTGCTGGTCCTGGACTTGTTTCTCTTGCGCCTCCATTTCCACGGACTGGGAATCAGGCACCAGTGGAGGTGGGGTGGGAGCACCCTGCTGGTCCTGAAGTTCTTTCTGTTGCACCTCCGTTTCCACGGACTGGGAATCAGGCACCAGTGGAGGTGGGGTGGGAGCACCCTGCTGGTCCTGGACTTGTTTCTCTTGCACCTCCGTTTCCACGGACTGGGAATCAGGCACCAGTGGGGGTGGGGTGGGAGCACCCTGCTGGTCCTGGACTTGTTTCTCTTGCGCCTCCGTTTCCACGGACTGGGAATCAGGCACCAGTGGAGGTGGGGTGGGAGCACCCTGCTGGTTCTGAAGTTCTTTCTGTTGCACCTCCGTTTCCACGGACTGGGAATCAGGCACCAGTGGAGGTGGGGTGGGAGCACCCTGCTGGTTCTGAAGTTCTTTCTGTTGCACCTCCGTTTCCACGGACTGGGAATCAGGCACCAGTGGAAGTGGGGTGGGAGCACCCTGCTGGTTCTGAAGTTCTTTCTGTTGCACCTCCGTTTCCACGGACTGGGAATCAGGCACCAGTGGAGGTGGGGTGGGAGCACCCTGCTGGTCCTGGACTTGTTTCTCTTGCACCTCTGTTTCCACGGACTGGGAATCAGGCACCAGTGGAGGTGGGGTGGGAGCACCCTGCTGGTCCTGGACTTGTTTCTCTTGCACCTCTGTTTCCACAGACTGGGAATCAGGCACCAGTGGAAGTGGGGTGGGAGCACCCTGCTGGTCCTGGAGTTCTTTCTGTTGCTGCTTCACTCTGTAGGCCCTGTGGCAGCTGGCCTTCTCTTTTGTGCAGGGTGGATGTGTGCCCATGTCATGCTGCTCCTCTGGGACAGTACTGGGAAGCAGACAAGGCTGGACTGTGGAAGCTTGAACCATGTCTGCTCCATTCAGAAGAGTTGTGAGTGACAGCTGTGAAGCACCTTCAATCATCCTGGTGTAAGTGTGGGAGTCGTCCTTGTATGGGATCAGTGGGGCCTTTGAAGAGCAACTGGCGTTTGTTGCCACAACGGCAGCAAGGGAGTTGTCACTCCAAGTGGAAAAGGAGGCCCTTGAAGAGCAGCAGGGATCCATGTCCAAAACAGAAGTGATGGATACATTGCTACAAGATGGTGGAGAGGTCTTCGAAGAGCGATGGGCTTTCATTTTGACGACAGAAGTGCAGGAGTTCCTTCTCCCAGTGGACAGAGACATCCCTGAAGAGGAGCTGGTTTCCGTTGTACTGATGGGATTGAGGGAGTCATCAGTGCACTCAGTAATCTCGAAGCTGTACCTGTGGGAGGAGGAGGGAAAGGCTGAGTCCAGGACTCTTGAGCACTTCAGGGCTCTACTGCTGCCTCAGAGGATCTGGCAGGCAGTGTTACTGCCATGTGGTCCAAATCAGTGTGTGCCAGTGGCTCCCTCCCTGGACCCACCATGTACAGAAGTTCAGGACAAGTGAGGAATGCTGTCAGGCTCTGAATTTTGCTGGTAAACCCATTGCCTCTGTAATGGCATTGCCCCTCAGACTTGAGGTCCGCAAATTTCCCTGTGTCCTCTCCCAGTCTTTTTCCCCTGACAATGTCCGCTACTCCATCCCCTTCTCCCCTTCTCCTCTTCCCATCCCCTCTTCAGTGGCCTTACATTTCAATGTATCTGTTGAGGTCCTCAAGGATCGTGTTGAACTGTTGGGTTAGTCTAGGCACACCATCCAGCTCCGGGTGTTTGGGACATCTGTGAAGAGGCAAAGCACAGCATTAGTGGGACCTCATTTCGTGGGGTTGACCAGAGAAGGCTGTCACACTCCAGAGCGAATGGCTCCACTTACAGTTTCTTTGAGGGCTGTGAAGAGTCATGGGCATCCCGAACTGTTGGCAGAGAAGACAGACAGTCAGTGGACTGGGAGCCCCTGGTAGGGCAGCTGGCACATGGGGCCAGGCGGTATCTTTCCAGGGCACCTGCCCTTGTCCAGGGCTGCTCACCTCTGCGATTCTCCTGGTTTTTTCTGTAACGGCGTCTTCTCAGCCTCCTTTCCTATATGGGCACAGAAAGCAGTGGGTGAGAGGGAGTCCCCAGTAGCCGCAGCAGCACCCACAAACCCAAGGCATGGCCAGGGCCAGGCCTGTGCCTGCCCCAAGCCTCCTGGCCCAGGCTGGCCAGGCCCGGCTGGGACATGGCCTCCCCTCCCAGGCAGGGCCTGCCTCAGCACCAGCCCTGACTCCTACCTGCGGCTTCGCCCTGGGCATCAGGAAGTAATAGGCAAACACCAACAGAAACAGCCCCATACATAATGCAAAGAAGGCTTCTGAGCTGGGGTAGAAGCTCATTCTCCAGGCATCAGCCATGCCTGTGACGTGCCACAGAGAGCCAAACTCGGCTGGCATGAAAAGGATCAGGTGGACCGCACTCACGGTCCCCTTGCTCCACCTGCCCTGCTCAAGCTTGTCCCTCTTCACTCGTCAGCTCGCGGCAAAATGGCAGCCAGCCTCGCTCAGCCCCGCTTACATAAACTGCCCCCGATTGTGATGTGTGTGGACTCAGGGCTGTCATCCCTCACCAGCTGTGATGACAGCAGCGTGCAGCCATGGCAACATTTGTGATGCAGGCACAGTGGGGATGAGGTGGCCCTCCCTGAGCTGAGCTAAACCCCAGAGATGACCTCATTACTGTATACAACTCCTTCATGACAAGGAGCAGAAAGGGAGGTGCAGATCTCTTCTCTCTAGTGGCCAGTGATAGGAGGCTAGGAAATGGTTTCAAGCTGCATCAAGAGAAGTTCAGAGTGGATATTAGGAGATGGTTCTTCACTAAGATGTCGGTCAAGAATTGGAAAAATTGTTTGTGACTCCACAGATGCAAGTAATAGAGAGTACTCTTTCTGAAATGTTATGATATGCCAGTCTTAATAGAAATTATACATCCTGCATATGCACAAAGGTAGATAGATACATAAATGTATGCTCATGCATACTCAAATTTTGAGGTAACAAAGTTAAACCTAAAGAAATCCAATCATGTGGCTGATTTACATAGCAGAATTTGAAGGAGATGGTCGACATATTCATACACAGTTCAGATAATTTATTTTTTCTCACATAGCTAGAAAGTCTGCTATGATATTTGAAATAATAAGACATCAACATACTGTTCTAATCTTTCATCTAGAGTTATTTTTTATTTTCTAACCGATACTGAAGGAGCTGGAAGGTAGTTCACAGTCTCTAACGGCAAGTTCACACAAACCTTTATATTTTCTGTGAAACCCTACTCAATGTTGGTACAAAGAATATTGGAAAGATATTTTATTGGAGTCCTGTACAAAAATTGGGAATGTTTCTGACATTTAGTTATTTTTTTCCTTGACAAATAGTTCAGCAATTAAAGTTCACTTTAAAGTTCACTAATAGATTGTATTATAAGAATATGCATTTATTTTGAGAGTGTTTTTCAGAACATTCAAGCTATGATGTGACTATAATAATTAAGGCCCCACAACTCTACAGAAACATTAAAATATCACAATTTTACTACTTATTCATGGTTTCTTTTTTTAAAGCATCTCTTATACCATCATGAAGATCATGATGGTACATCAGGTAGAAAAACTGTTTACTGTTTTCAAATGAATTTTTGGATATTTACATATTGCATTTCTCAGCAACAAGGGAAGGGAGAAACTACCAAAGATCACTCTACCCACAAGAAAAAAAAAAGAAAAAAAAGTGAGAGCTGAAAATCCTGTGCCATTCTCTAACAAACTATAAAAGGTTGACAGACCACTCTGCCTTGTCAAGCAAAGATGTTAATTAGAAACCTAGGTTTGAAAATGGAGATCAACAGGTTGGCCTTCGTAGGTCTGAAAAATACCCATTAGTTTCATTTTAGATTTCATTGCCAGACAAGGTCTCCAAGACTAATCTCACTGAATTTTAACACCTAAAATCAACAGTCTAATCTATATTATGGAGCTTGTTCCTTCGTGAAACAATGAAAAAAAAAAAAAAAAAAGATTTTTTTTACAGTATGACTCACTTATTGCTGAATAACTCTCTGAAAGTGCTCATTTCTCCCAACATACCACTGAGACAACTTAGGGAAATGTTTGTGAATCTCAGTGTCACTGATTTTAATGAAAAGTAGCTCAGACATTGTGGGGTTTTCTGTGGTCACCGACCTCAGTGAAAAGCTGTTTCTCACTCCTTTCTCTCTCAGCTGCTGTAGAGCAGCAGGATTTTTTTTCCCCCCATTTCTTCCATCTGCTCTCACAGAGGCAGAAGCAACATTGCTCATTGGCTCGACTCAGGCCAGCGGGGTCCCCTTATCTAACATGGAGAAGCTTCTAAACTCTTCTCACAGAAGCAAATCTTATGTCCCCCCTTAACCAAAACCTTGCCACGTAAACCCACTACAAAAGTTCACAGAAAGCAGCGGGTGAGAGGGAGTCCCCAGCAGCCTCAGCAGCACCCACAAACCCAAGGCATGGCCAGGGCCAGGCCCGTGCCTGCCCCAAGCCTCCTGGCCCAGGCTGGCCAGGCCCGGCTGGGACATGGCCTCCCCTCCCAGGCAGGGCCTGCCTCAGCACCAGCCCTGACTCCTACCTGCGGCTTCGCCCTGGGCATCAGGAAGTAGCAGGCAAACACCAACAGAAACAGCCACAGGAAGGCGTATAATGAGAAATAGGTCACCCCAGGAGGTGACCTTCACCCGAGCACCAGGCAGCAGCCAGCCCAGCTGGGCCAGCTCAGTGCAGCAGGGCCATGGCCAGCCCACCCCAGTGCTGAGAGCTGGCCCTGCGCAGGGCCCTGCAAAGCCCCTGGCCTCTCACTAGGTAGGGTTGAACCCCTGGTCATAGGATTTCAACCCCCATGAGCTGCACTCCCCCTTCTGAGAGACCATGAACTTCTTCATGACCCTCATGCATCCAGCGAAGCAACGATGGTGACACAGTGACAATGGTGAATGCCCAAGGGAGCACCCCAGCCAGGAGGAGCACTGCTCCCCAGAGTATGACCACTCAGAGGTCCTTTGCTGAAACGGTAATTAAGGTGGGGAGGGCTCGCTGCGGCTGGGCAGCCAGGAACCCCCACAGCCAGCTCAACTCCCTTACCCTTACTCCGAGTGGTACCAGGGAGATAATGTGAAGGACAACAGTGAGAAAACTCCTGGACTGAAATAAAAGCCAGGCCACTGGTCACAGACTACTTTCACCGGGATGGGTTACTAAGCTTAGAGAACTCAATTTTAAGCACAAAATTAATGGTTTGGCATACGGAAGTGAAGGTCATAAATATTTTCACACTTAGTGAAATGCAAGTGTGGAAGTGCAAGACTTTGCAAGAGCACTTGCAAGAGGGACTTGCAAGAGCTTTTCGCTGGTGTTCCCCTGTGTCAGCTCTCACTGCCCTCTTCCCTCTGGCTTGGGGATCCTGCTCATGTCCTCCTCCTTGGCCTTTTGCTCACCTCAGCACATGCTAGGGCAGGTAGAGCTGCTGCTGTCCCAGAGCTCAGGGCTGTCATCCCAGCAACCTCCTTCAGAACCTTCACCACCTCCATGCTACAACCCCGACCCTCCTTCGGGGAGAAGGGAGAGGCAGGGGTTTGGAGGAGATGGGCCCAGCCCATCCCACAGCAAGAAGCAGAAGTCCTGCCCACAGAGGCGCCTGTCTGCTGTTCTGCCTGTCCTAGTGCAGCCAGAACAACAGGCACTTTAACGATACCTTAAAGGAGGCTGTAGCAAGGTGGGGGTTAGTCTATTCTCCCACGTGCCTGGTGACAGGACGAGGGGGAATGGGCTTAAGTTGCGCCAGGGGAGTTTTAAGCTGGATGTTAGGAAGAACTTCTTTACCGAAAGGGTTGTTAAGCATTGGAACAGGCTGCCCAGGGAAGTGGTGGAGTCACCATCCCTGGAGGTCTTTAAAAGACATTTAGATGTAGAGCTTAGGGATATGGTTTAGTGGGGACTGTTAGTGTTAGCTCAGAGGTTGGACTTGATGCTCTTGAGGTCTCTTCCAACCTAGAAATTCTGTGATTCTGTGATTCACTGGACCTCCATCTTTCGCTTTGCAGACACACAGCGTGCTTTCTCTCTGCCACTTGTTGTCCTGAAGGACTTACACTGCTCCCAGACCCAAACCGTAGCTGTGGTGTGCAGGGGAATTCCAGGGAGGGGGGCAGCCCACGCTGCCTCTGGAGGCCTCAGGTGGAAGGCCCGCTGCATTCTGGTGAGGCCGCACCTTGAATACTGTGTTCAGTTTTGGGCCCCTCGCTACAAGAAGGACATCGAGGTGCTTGAGCGGGTCCAGAGAAGGGCGACGAAACTGGTGAGGGGCCTGGAGAACAAGTCCTACGAGGAGTGGCTGAGGGAGCTGAGCTTGTTCAGCCTGGAGAAAAGGAGGCTCAGGGGCGACCTTATTGCTCTCTACAGGTACCTCAAACGAGGCTGTAGTGAGGTGGGGGTTGGTCTGCTCTCCCACGTGCCTGGTGACAGGACGAGGGGGAATGGGCTTAAGTTGCACCAGGGGAGTTTTAGGCTGGATATTAGGAAGAACTTCTTTACCGAAAGGGTTGTTAGGCATTGGAACAGGCTGCCCAGGGAAGTGGTGGAGTCACCATCCCTGGAGGTCTTTAAAAGACATTTAAATGTAGAGCTTAGGGATATGGTTTAGTGGAGGACTTGTTAGCGTTAGGTCAGAGGTTGGACTAGGTGATCTTCGAGGTCTCTTCCAACCTAGAAATTCTGTGATTCTGTGAATCTATGGTAGAATATGCAATTCACATGATATCTGTTAAAGTTTTTTGTTTTGTTTTGTTTTTCCATTGTGTGAATTTTTAGAATTTTGCACTTTTTTTTTTTTTTTTAGTTTTATGTAGTTACTTAATTTTCATGTCTTTTTTTTTTTCTTCTCTGTTAATGTAACTCAAGGTAGCAACACCATAAAATTCTTCTCTGTCTCTGCCTTTTCTAATTGCCTTCAGGAGGGAGAAGGATTATAGAATCACAGAATCACAGAGTCATCTAGGTTGGAAGAGACCTCCAAGATCACCAAGTCCAACCTCTGACCTAAAGCTAACAAGTCCTCCACTAAACCATATCACTAAACTCTAAATCTAAATGTCTTTTAAAGACCTCCAGGGCATTCATAAGATAAAAACAGCAGTTCTAAACAAACTTTTTGTTAATGCAATATGTCTCATGGTTTCAGACAGACATTTCAAACTTTACACAATGAATTGCTCGCAGTTTGAAAAGTCACAGACAGGTATATGAATTGATACCATATTTCTTTTTTATGTTCAGATGGTAATTCAAAGGATTATTCAAGAAATTATATACTCTGATTTCTTGAAATAGACAGTTAAGTAGAAGCAATGTTGTACTTATTGCTGGGTTCTTATGATTTTACTGCTTGTAAACTGATATGAAAGACTGAAACAGTAGGAGAGGACCATCTTTACTTAATTTATACAGTTGATGCAACCAAAGGGAACATTTTTTCCCTTTTCTGGGAGTAGAATGGTGTCTTTTGCAGTAACTTTGCACACATGTTCATCATGGCTCATAATGGCGGGTGGTTTCTCATCTTCATACCATCACTTAATCATAAATTTTCTGTGAATCACGGAATGTTTTCACTTGAAAGATTCACAGGATCAACATCTGTTGTGGAGATTGATACAGCTGAAGAAGACCTAATGCAGACTGTTTAGTGTTACTTAAAGACTGGAGATTGCAGAGAACGCCTTTATACACACTCTCAAGCAATTTATATATCGTCCCCAACTTCTTCCCAAAATTTCTGTTCTATCTCAGTTTGCACTATTCATGTAACCTGTCCTTTTTCCTTTTGTACAGTTTTTAAAAGACAAAATGACTGATACAAGAAAGGAATGACACATGGTTCTATATAATCATGAAGAAAACCACTGCAGAAATTGCTTGTTACTTATATACTGTCTGAATGCATGAACTTTGTATTATTTATGAGACAGTAGTGTGCAGCAGAGACTTTTTTATTATAAAGTCCCTTTTGCTCATTTGCAGAGTTGTTTGCAAAGAGGTACTTGTATTATAAACAGTAAAACTGTGGGAGAAAAAAAAAAAAAAAAAAAAAAAGGAATTTTGTTTAAACCAAAACCTTGAAGAAGAAAATCCTGTAGTAGAATCAAAAATTGAATTTATGTAGGAGTTCTACCAGAAGTACGTCGTGTGTCTTGTCATTGAAATTAGCTCATCACTACATTGAAGTTTTCCTGTTGAATCTTATCCAATAGTTTTGCCAATTGCTAGACTGTGGCTTGGGAGATTTCCAGGTTCTGATGTAGAGTGTACGTTTGTTTCTTTATGTTGTTTTTTTTTTTTGTTTGGTTGGTTGGGTTTTTTTGTGTGTGTTTTTTTTTAGTAAGAGATTCAAGAACAAATAAAGGCATAGAGTGACAGTGAAAAAAAAGTAATTTACTACAGCACATCTTCCAGTTATGTATAATTTCTTTTGCATGTCATGTTGTTTGCATATGCAGATAGTGAGAATTGGTCTCAGCATGTGTACATGCAGAAAACTTCAAAGTGCTTGGAGCATGTAACCTGTATTTTCACAGTCCTAAAATTCTTAAAAGTTTGACACAGCTAAAAAAATCAAATGTTTATAATGTTAAACTAAAATGATTAGGTTAGCATGCAAATATATTATACAAGAGATCTAATGGCTGGTACCATTATATAAACTTTTCAGATGGACATTTTCTCATTTTCTGATTTCAGGTACTGCTGATTTTTCATAACAGGTATGAATATGGAGGAAGATCAGAAATCAAAATGCACTGTATTCATATCAGACTAACTACCAAATACTGAGTTCAGATGTTGCCAAAAGCTGGAACATAAAGTAACACCAAAATAATAATAATAATAATATTTTATTTTTTTTAAAGGGGGCTTTTCTTTTTTTTTCCCTAGGTCTAGCTGCTTCTCATTACCTGTTACTCCAGGAATTTGACTGAGATGGCGTCCATCCTGCCTCCATAGGCTAGTAATCCTTGCCAAGGGCAAGTCCTTCTGGGACTGGAAGATGTCTGGATCTATGAAAAGAAAGTTCAATGCATCTGGAAGTTACTAGTAGGCAGCAAAGACAACACTGGAAGAAAACATGATTGAAAGAGTGTGACTGAAAGGTGGGAAATGGATGAAGGAGACTAAGAGAGGGAGAAGGGGGAAAAAAATAAAAAAAAAGATTTGCATAGAGACTATAGGGAAAAGAAAGGGGAAATCTGTGCATACATGTATGTTAGTAGTTTGGAGCTCACCAGAGAAAAAAAAAAAAGGAAGCGATTCTGTGATCTTTTTTTAGCACAGTGAGTATGAAGCAAAATGACTGAAATCACCTGAATGGAAATGCCGCTGAAATAATGCTACTGTCTTTCTGTTTGCCAAATAAGCCACCTTTCCCCACCATTTCTGTGTTTGCCAGGTTGTCTTGGCCTATCTGAAACAGTTCAGTGGCATTCCCAGTGAATCCATCTGCCTTTGGATCTCGTCCCACTGGGGAACTATTTCACCAGCCTCTGAAATACAACCTTTCTTGCATGAAACACAGCTATTGTTTAACAGTTCAGAACAACAAGCTGAGGGCAGGAAATGAAGAATAATGTCTCCTCTTGAAACAGCTAATTATACTTGTGTTGATCTAGTGTTAAACTTTTTCTGTTATCATTGGCTAAACAATCTTGTGTATCTTGCCTTTGCTGAGGTTTTCTAGTGGCTTCATCTTGGGCTGCAGCCTGTATTATGCAGAAATGTGAGAGAGTCTTATTTGACACAAGCTGTGCCTTGCTTTTCTTTAAACGCTGCTTGCCAGGATAGCTGTATTTTTAACATCAGGTTACCTTCTTCTAGGATGGCACACCACACATCTAAGAATGCAGGGAAGTTTTAATGCCACCTTGGATAAGTATTGTCAATTAGCAGTAAGATCCTTCCAAGCAAGGGAAACATTAGCCAGTAATTTTGGTAGCAACATTCTGTGCTTTACTAAAAGAACTTCAGAATCCCAGCACCCATCTCTTTTTTAATATCAAAGTCAAGAATGGCTTCCTGAAATCAAATCTGAAGAGGTTGTCTTTGTAGTAGAACCAATGCAAGTAATCAGGACTAATATCTCTGAGGTTCGATTAGCTTAGCGAGCAATATGTTTTTGTTTTTTAAATAAGACAATGTGTAGTCAAGTTACTGAGTCCTTCCTATGGCTGCATTCGTTCATAAGCAGAATCTGGAGGTGCCTTGTCACAAAGCCACCTAAGGTATTCATATCTTTCAAAAAACTGAGATGCTTGTTCTTCAGGGTCTTTCCACAGTAATCCACTTGTGCACAGAAAAAAGCTTCATCCAGCTGGATGAAGATGGGATCCCAAGCTTGTTCAATCAAGTGAAATAGGAACATGGGCTTTGGTTCCTTCATCATGAAAGCAGCTGACCTGCACTGAACACACTACCAGAATTCAGTACAGCAATTACATGTTAAAAGCGGAAGGTAGATGTAATATCCAAGTACACTCTGCAATGGAGGCATACAAAACACATCTGAAAAGCTGTATGGTTACAGCTATGAACTGCCATGCATTTTAGTGTAGCCCATTCAAAAGAATACAGGTGTAGACTGGTACAGAAATCAGAACATCTCCCATAAAGAAAAGTTCTCATGTATCAGGTTTCCAGGAGTTATCCAAAATACATGCTTGGGTGGGAAACTATTATTCATCCTGCTTGAAATTTGAGACTTTCATAATTTCATGAGAAGAGAATGCTTTGTATTGTTTGGGTTTTGTGAAGCTGGATTTTCATGGCAAATATATTGTTCACCCACTGCTCTTCCTTGATAAAAGCAACATTTTTAAATGACAGAAAGTAAATTCCTCTTCCCAGACTTTAAGAGTAGCAGCAAGACCATACATCTGTTCCCAAATTTTCAAATAAATATACTCTCTTTTTAACCTATTTTTCAGTACAAAAGGAAAATCACAGAATCACAGAATTGTAGGGGTTGGAAGGAACTTCAAGACATCATTGGGTCCAGCCCCCTCCCCACCAAAGCAGGTTCCCTAGAGCAGGTTGCACAGGTAGGCATCCAGATGGGTCTTGAATATCTTCTCCAGAGAAGGAGAATCCATAACCTCCCTGGCCAGCTTGTTCCAGTGCTCTGTCACCCTCACTGTGAAGAATTTCTTTCGCATGTTGGTGCAGAACTTCCTGTGATCCATTTTTTGTCCATTGCCCCTTGTCCTGTCCCCACAAACCACTGAAAAGAGGTTGGCCAAATCCCTCTGTCTCCCACACTTAAGATATTTGTAAAGATTGATAAGATCCCCTCTCAGTCTTCTCTTCTCCAAGCTGAACAGACCCAGGACTCTCAGCCTTTCCTCACAGGGAAGATGCTACAGGCCCCGTATCATCTTTGTGGCCCTCCACTGAGGATTCCAGGAGAGTCTTTTTTGTACTGGGGAGCCCAAAACTGGACACAGTACTACAGGTGAGGCCTGACCAGGGCAGAGTAAAGGGGGAGGATCACCTCCCTTGACCTGAAGGCCACACCACTTTTAATGCACACCAGGATCCCATTGGCCTTCTTGGCTACCAGGTCACACTGCTGGCTCATGGCCAACCTGTCGTCCACCAGGACCCCCAGGTCGTTTTCAGCAGAGCTCCTCTCCAGCATGTAAAACGATGTAAATCTTTGCAGAACCTTGTATTTATTTAGCAGTCTTCTTGAAATTGGTGCTTATATCAAGAACTGAGTAGCATAGCAGTGGTTTCTGGCTCTGTATAACACCTGGCATCTTTGACTACTTCCATATTAGTGCATTAAATGGGGTCAGATGTTAAATTATTAGCACACCTCTTGGAATAATTTTGATACAAAGTAATACCCTTCTAGATAATGCCACAGTTTTCAGGTCTTAGCTAGTCCTAAAAATAACTGCCTGTTTGGAGTCAGCCACATGTTTTCAGAGAGTAAAACAGTTTAGCTGACTGACCGCGAGTTCACTCACATCAACAGGCCACAGAGCCAGAGGAGAACCCTGGTCCATTGTATTTACTGGTATAAATGTAGCCCCGGAGTTCTGCATCCTAACTGTACATAGTGTTATCAGTAACAGAATATTTGCTCTCTGGATTGTATTGCTATGTGATTAAGAAATATTCTGCTTTTCAGTTATTACAGCAGACTCGGCAATCACCATCATTTGCATCAGCACAGCAGATGTCATAAACAAAAATAAAAATGTTTGATTTGTCTTCTGTAGATAAGCAGAAAATTTGGATAGCTCCCATCTTTTCTGAAGATATAAGTTGCCAGTAAAACAAAGGAAAAATAAAATAAAGAAAAGAAAGTAAAGAAAAAAAATCAAAGAGAGAATCTTATTCAGGGTGACTGCATGACAGATGAATAGCACAAGTATATTTCTCAGCCAGTAGGAAGAAACAGAGGAGACTGACCAAAGGTTATGGCTTACAGGCATAAATTTATCCTCTGTGATGAATTGTAACCAGATCCTACCAGTTTCAACTTTGAAGTTTTCCTGAACCTGTAAGGTTACAGGTCTGAACATATCTCTACCTCTGGTTGGCATGACTCTTGATTTTCTGCATTTTTTAAAATACAAAAATAAAGGAAAGAAACTAAAACAAACAATAGCATATTAGGAATTTCAATCTTAAATATATATATATAATATATATATAAAGATGTATTCCTAAGCACAGTTAATGCTTCTTTAAAAATACAGACAGCAGCTTAATACTACAATCAGACAATCCATTTCACCCATATTTCTTCTAAAAAGCATGTATGCAATTGAAGTATAATAATGACATCTATTCTTGGGATGAGGTATGCATTTCTTCCTCTACTTGTGGAAAAAAAAAAAATTGCTTTTTAAAGCTTCATAATTTTCATTCATCCTCTCTGAGCCCAATGTGAAACAAAAAAGCAAACAAAAATCTAGGTATAGACAATGGTGGACAATGACTAAAACTGTCTGCTGTGTTTAGTGATATGGTTTAGTGGAGGACTTGTTAGTGTTAGGTCAGAGGTTGGACTCGGTGATCTTGGAGGTCTCTTCCAACCTAGATGATTTTGTGGTTCTGCGATTCTGTTGCTAGTCTTTTCTAGTGAGGGAAATCTATTTTGCTACTAATATTCATCAGTAAAGGTGGTGAATGCTGTTTTTCATGAGTATTATTGTCGGCAGTTCTTTTCAGTATACACACAGAGCACATGTAGGTGAATCAGCCCTGTTATACTGAAGCTTGCTTTTCTCCTATAAGCTGGTCCTTGAAATGACCACAGAATGCTTCTTCTCACAGAGACTAGAAGTATCAGGATCTGCTCACAATGCTGCATAATTTTCCTGCAGAGCTGTATGACGAGATGTGAACCTTGCCTGATATAACTGTGCCAAGAGGAGTTGTTTCAGTAGTATAAAATTTCTGTGTTATAATTTCATTTCACCCAGAGGAGACAGTATTGTTTCATTCTAATATAAAAGGAAACCTTCTTTATGTTGTGTGCTGGAATGGGATTCAGATCAGTTAGTGCAACAGTCTGAAAGTACGGGTCCAGTCTAAGACAGACTAAAACTTACATGTACGTAAAGTCTCTTTCTATTCACTGGAGAAAAACCGGTACCTCTAGAAGACAACTTAGCTTTCCCAAGCCAGATGTCCAAGCGAAGTAGCATAAATCACCCTTTCTCTCTCTGCTGACAATAAAGGGAGCTGAGGCAACTGATTTTGTCGGGGCTGTCTAGCTTTCAGACCTGTATAAGGACATGACAGTGTGTATTGGGTTCAACCAAAGGTCCAGCTTATCCATTTTACAGTGTTCAGCAATAAGCTGTGAGTAAATTCACAGTTAGTATGCAAACACGGAAACATCTGCAAACCTAGCAGTTTATGTCATTTAAGCTCCCACTGTTGGGATGCTTTGTTAGCACACAGCCATTCCTTCACCTGTAGAGAATGTTGGCCTTCATAGTCTTTCTCAGGAATTGTTTGAAAGTGTTTTGTTTGTTTGTTTGTTTGT